ACCAGATAATTTCGATATTAACTCATAACGAAAATAATATAATTTAGAGATCCTATGATTAAATGCTTTCTTGAACACTCTCTGATCTTGAAATGATTTGCTTAACAGACTTCTAGTATCATTCACAAACCCTCCTAGGATTAAAAACTGGTTATGTAACACCCTTAACCCATATCCGACCCGAATACAAGTCTGAGGTGTCACATTGACTTTTCAAACTTTGTCTCTTGACAAAATTCAAAGAAAATTTAAAACTTTCATTAAAATAAAAGCGATTTATTTACATAAATTGACCAAAATAATCAAAATCAATCAGAGCATATTCAACTCAATCAATTAATACATGCCAACTATATTCAAATTAACCAAACACATTTAAATCATCTATTTTCTGATCTCAAATTTTGTAAGGGAGATGCTGACATGTCTTGCTTTTCTTCGCTTCTGTTTTCACTTCTGTAACCTACGTGTGAAACAATCACACGCTAAGTCTATGACTTAGTGAGGCATAAACAAACCGACTATAGCATATCATAACTAATTCCTATTATGTACATTTTATGTAATCATGATAAACCATAAAATGCATCCAAACATAAATAAATATGTATACGATATATATATATATATATATATATATATATATATATACATACATATTGTTTCACAAAGAAATACCCATGTCATCATATAATTCTGGTAACATATTTCCTAACACAAAACATATAAAGCGTATGTAATAAATTTCTCATTATCTCTTTAATAGTCTGATTTTCTTCTTTATCTTTTAGTCATATGTTCTTGTACCTATTCTTCTTAACCAAGCTATATACACATCACCATCATATCACATATATCATTTCACCATAAAGATTACAAACAAAGCACATAATATCATACAAGGTTCTTTTATATCATCTTCTTTATTAGCCCATGTACACATGTGAGAACTATATAAATGTGAGTCTATAGAGGTTGTACACTAATGTTGTCACCATAGCTCGTATAAATGCACCGAAGTACCACATAGAATTGCACCTAAGTGCTGCGTAGAAATGCACCGAAGTGCCATATAAGATGTCCCTAAGGACCACGTAGAAAATTCCTTTAGATCCATATACATATTCCAAGGACCAAGTATGTGTCTCAAAATACCTCATAGATGTTCCAAAGGATAAATATATGTCCCGAAGAATCGCGTATACCCTCGACTCTTGGCATGCCAACTATACCCCTAGCTCTCATGACACATATCATGGGCATTATCTTTTATATCTTTTTTCATATTCATGTAAACATATCACATATTCATATAAACTCGTAGCTTCATTTACATATACATGTAATCACATACTTCATGTAAATTCTCATATCATTTCGTATTCATATATCTTATAGCATATAACACTTCTCATGTGTTCCTATAAACATGTCATTTATATCAGGCATGTTTACACAACTCATTTCTATATAACTTACATGAATTTATATTCTTTTTCATATACCCATATAATCATATAATATAATATTTCATATAACCTCATGTATCACATCACATAGATACATACTCAAGTACTCATAGCTACATATCACTTAAATTATTCATATTTACATAATTCATGGTCATATAACTTCTATCACCAAGTCACTTATCTTATCTCATATTCTCATATGTTCATATTTATCATATAACACATAAGATTTATTGCATATTTATATTGCATTCCTACATCACTAATTCATAATATAATTTTTATCGTATCATCTATATTATTCTTTATTTCTTAGTATGCACTTACATTACATAACCTATATTATACTTATAAACATATATATATATATATATATATATATATATATATATATATATATATATATTACTTCTATTATTTATTTTATATACAAATTAATCTATTTACTTAATTCAATTCCATATAACTCCTATAATCTTCTCATATCACTCCATAACTTTTATTATACAACTAATGTATCATAATTTTATTTAAGCATATAAATCTTTCTCATCTATCTTATCATATATGTTCATATTATTACTTAATTGATCATACTACTATGTACTTGCCCAACTCACCTTCTTATTATTTATGTAACCTTTTACTTTGCTTACTTAGTTCATATCATTTCTCATAAACTCACTTTTACCATATTCTCATATTATTACTTAAGTTGTCTCATATAATGTATTCACATAGTTATATTTCATTTCTATATATATCTCAAAGTTCTTATCTTTTATATTAATATAATTTATTATCATCTAATATGGTTTATATCATCATAACATAGCATATATTCATGTCAACCATATAATACATATATACAATAACATGTCAACACATATAATTCATACACACAAATACTTCTATTTATGAATTCATGCATTTTACTATTGGAAATAGACTTGTCGCAAGTCTTATTTTCATTTAACATCATATACTACTAATATGCACTCACCTTGACCTCACTAAGTTCCAATCCACTTTTATGTTTTCCTTTCTTCCGATCGAATCTTAACTTGATAATCGTTCCGGAACTTGTTCGTGCTAGATATCTACATAATCATGTATTTATACTATCAGTGTCTAATTGATATACTATAATCTATCATTTCTTAGACCAAAAGAAAGGTCTATTTCTATTTCCCCTTTGAAGTGCATCGATATATTCTACAGTGCATCGATGCATTCTTTAACATGTGCATCGATGCACTACCCATGTATCGATACACAAATCACCTTCGATGTTTTCATTTTAAGGGGGTGCATCGATGCACTCCTTATGCATCGATGCACTAATTGCATTCGATGTTTCCATTTTTAATGGGTGCATCGATGCACTTCCTGTGCATCGATACACACTGAACAATTTCTGGAAATATCCTTGATGCATCGGTACACATTGAATGTGCATCCATGCACATAGCCCAGAATTCATTTTTGTGACCGAAAATTCACTCTTTTCAGCTTAATAACTTCATATATCATCTTCTTTCTTATTCTTAACTTACATACTCATATTCAAACTCATTTCTATTCATTAATCACCTCCTTAACGTCAAAATCCTATTATCCATATGTAATTCAAGAATTACACTAAATTTTCAACATGTTCCAAATTCAATTCTATTGCTTCTAACTTCTTAATTAGACACTTGACAAGTCAAATTCATTCTTAGAACTTTAAAAACCTTTTTATCATAAAAGTTCATTTATAAACTCTTAATAGAAATTCCTTTCTAATTCTCTCTTCTTGGTGTTTTAAACTTATATAAGCTTTCCTTAAGTTTATATAACCCCCAAATACTCAAATCCAACTTAAAAATTCAAGAAATCAACAGCTAAATCAAACTTACCTTTGCTCTTGGCTTCCACGTGAAGAAGAAGAAAAGAGAAGAAGAGAACTCTGGAGAAATCTCTCCCTTTCCATGTGGTTCCCTTTTCTTATAAAGGAAGAATAAAAATCTTACTTTTCAATTGACCATTTTAACCTTTAATTCATTTCAATCATGCATTTACTAATATTCACATGTTCCATAAAGCATAAAGAGGTAGTAAAGTATTATCTCAATTTTCGTGCAATACTGATCGACCATAAAAATTCCATTCGAACGCCTTTGATATTTAATTTAGCATCCAATAATTCCTCGGATCCATATCAACAGAAATTACATAAAAAGCGAAGCTTAATTTTGAAAAATGGATCGAATCGGATGATAAATCAGTGAAAAAAGCTTACCGGGTTCGAATTTGGCGAAACGAACTTCGGATTCGGATTCAGGACGTCGAAAGCATAATATATTACTTTTCGCAAATTTGGAATTTTCGGTCAAAATCAAAGTCAACAGGTTTGACTGGCAATTTCGAGGTATTCGGGTCCGAATTTCGAAAAACGGACTACAGAATCAGATTTGGAATGTCGAAAATCGTCAGGATAGGTATACTCGGTTAAAGTCAAAGGTCGTTTAATGCCCGATCAACGCCAGTCAAAGTTTTGGTCAACTGTGGTCAACGCCGATCAACAGGTCAGGTTGGAACCGGTCAAACTGGTTCAAAACCAATCATTTTAACCTTCCCCACGCGCAGTTCAAATTTTAAACGATTTCGAGGTACTTACAAGGCTCGATTCAAATTTTTGAACGGCGGAGAGCTCGATTTCCATAAATCGGAAACTTTGACCGTCTCACCTCCTCACGCGTTGCCGTCGACGGAGACCAAGGATGAAAACGGTGGACTCGAAATGGCACAAGAAACACGATGGTGCAGGAGGTGTCGTAAACGGATGGTCGGATCGTCGTGAATCGACGAAAAACCAAATGAAATCGAGTTATTACCGACGTTACTTCCGACTGAAATTAAAGACGAACGACGACGATTCACGACAAAAGGTTTGAGGGGTTTTGTTCGTCGTTCGACAACGAACACGATGGTGATTTCGGTTCGTCGATCGGAGGTCGGACGACGAGTAGATCGGAGTTGAAAGGAGGGTTGTTGGAGAGTAAAAACTGGAAAGAAATCTGGAAAATCATACAGGTAGTGGGATTTATAATTCAACTCATAATAAAAATGGGTAAATCATGAGATTAGTCAATGAATTCCTGTACTTCTTAAAATGATCTGCCAACTTCACAATTTTACAATTTAATCCCCAATTTCTTCCAAAAATACCAATTAAATTCACTACTTTATAACTTCTTAAATTTAGCACTGAAATTGGGGTGTTACAATTATAGCAATTGTATGTTGAAGAATACAATTTTCTGATAATGAATAGGATCGTCCAAGATTGATTGATAATAATTGTTGGGATGATTTTGCAACTTAAATAAATTAAGTATACCAATCCTAAACAAATAATTTTTAAAAAAAAATTAATTAATTTAAAAAAATTATAATTTAATTATATTCCTATTAAAATTTAAACTAAATAATCCTATTCTTATGCCCTCCGTTGTTCCGTATGAATTCTTCAATCCTAGACCCTCCCGTTCCCTCAATCAGACTTCCCATCAAGATGCTTCTCTCTCCTTTCTTCATCTTTTTTAATCTTAAAACTTGAGCTAAATTCCAACAAAACCGAAACCCTAATTCGCTAATCGCTTTGCTTTTTTCCATTTCCAAATTCTAGCCTTGGTTTCATCACTTTTTCATTCACCTTACTCCAACACTCACAAAAAAATGAAGAGAAATCACCGGGAAATCTCGGGAACCACTGACTATAGTTGTGGGAGTGGCTCAAGGGCTGACAGTTCAAGCATTGGTAATTGTATCAAAGAAAAATTATGGGAAGAAGATCATGATGCCGGCGGGATGGACGAGCTATTGGCCGTTTTGGGTTACAAAGTTCGGTCCTCGGACATGGCCGATGTGGCTCAGAAATTGGAAATGTTGGAGATGGTTATGGGAATTGCCCAAGAAGATGGGATTTCTCATCTTTCTTCCGACACCGTTCATTACAATCCTTCGGATCTTTCCGGTTGGGTTCAAAGCATGTTGACCGAGTTAAATGGTCCGCCAACACCGAATCTCGATCCCGTTTTGGTGAATTCCGATCCCACTTCTTCAAATCCACAACACCAGAAACAGAATCAATCTCGGGTTTTTAACGATGATTCCGAGTACGATCTCAGGGCAATCCCGGGGGTTGCTGCTTACCCACCTTCGAATTCAGAACCAGATTCGGAAAGTACCCGGAAACGGGTCAAAACTTCAATGAGTTCATCTGGATCCGATGGATATGGTTCGGACTCATTTTTTCCGTCACCTCAAGAAAATGGAATTCCAGGTGCTGTAACTGAGTTTTCAACTCGCCCTGTCGTCTTGATTGATTCGCAGGAAACCGGGGTTCGACTCGTTCACACCTTGATGGCTTCTGCGGAGGCTGTCCAACAAGATAATCTGAAGCTCGCCGATGCATTAGTCAAGCACATAGGCTTACTTGCCGCGTCTCAAACCGGTGCCATGAGAAAAGTAGCTACCTATTTTGCCGAAGCCTTAGCTCGCAGAATCTACAGGATTTTCCCGCAAGATTCTCTCGACCCTTCATACACTGATATTCTGCTGATGCATTTCTATGAAACTTGCCCGTACTTGAAATTCGCTCATTTTACGGCCAATCAAGCTATCCTGGAAGCTTTCGCGACGGCTAACAGAGTTCATGTTATTGATTTCGGGCTAAAACAGGGGATGCAATGGCCGGCTTTAATGCAAGCTCTTGCATTAAGGCCTGGTGGGCCGCCCGCTTTTCGATTGACCGGAATCGGCCCGCCTCATCCGGGTAACACTGATGCTTTGCAGCAAGTGGGGTGGAAATTAGCTCAATTGGCGGAAACAATTGGTATCGAATTTGAGTTTAGGGGTTTCGTAGTCAATAGTTTGGCGGATATGGAGGCTGAGATGCTTGAGATTCGCCCTCTCGAGGTGGAGGTAGTGGCGGTGAATTCGGTTTTCGAGCTTCACCGCCTGCTTGCTCGGCCCGGTTGGTTGGACAAAGTTGTTTCTTCCATCAAAGCAATGAAGCCCAAAATTCTTACTGTTGTAGAACAAGAAGCTAATCACAATGGTCCAATTTTCTTAGACAGGTTTACTGAGGCTCTACATTTTTATTCAAGTCTTTTTGACTCGTTGGAAGGCTCAGGGGTGACGCCATCGAGTCAAGACCTAGCTATGTCCGAGTTGTATTTGGGAAGGCAGATTTGTAATGTGGTTGCTTGTGAAGGGATGGACAGAGTTGAACGACACGAACCGTTGACTCAGTGGAGGACTCGGATGGAAACGGCCGGGTTCAGCCCCGTTCACTTGGGTTCCAATGCATATAAACAAGCTAACATGTTGTTGGCTCTCTTTGCTGGGGGTGATGGGTATAGAGTGGAGGAGAACAACGGATGTTTAACGCTTGGGTGGCATACAAGGCCACTTATCGCCACCTCGGCTTGGCGACTCGGCACCACCGAGTCAGGACTATGAGTCGACTCACGAACCGAGTTGGATAAAACCGGTTGAAAGGAACAACGGGTTCTGTATTTTAACGGAGTTGCAGTGTACCAGTGAATGAAACGTGAGGGTAATTTAAAAAAGAACAGTCCAAGTGTTTAATATACTCCTCGTTTGTAGTAATTTTTTTCTTTTTTTGAAAATAGGGTAGAATTTCCTCTCCTTTTTTTAATGGGAGCCTCTGTAATTTTCAAGGTTGGATCTAATGTGAAGGCATATCCCTTGTTTATTTTAGTTATAGATATATTACATAAATTTTATTTTTTTATATTTATATAATATGTTCTTAATTATTTTTCTTGTCGTATACAAAATAGTTTAGGGTTGGTCTCAAACATGTTAAAAGAAAGTTTGGAATGTAAAAGAACTGAAATTCAAGCAGTAAGTTTTCAGAAATTGTAGAAAGTACATTTTGTTATATAATGTTAAAAAACGGTAGAAATCGGTTACAACATAAAATCTTATTAATAACCTAATTTTTTAGGTTGAAACTATAAATGTTACATATTTTGTAACATATGTAACATTTTTTAGTTACAACTGACCAAAAATATTTGTATAAATTTATATAACTTTTTAAATTGAACAAGATAACATTCTAAATTAAAAACTATCTTAAATTAACATTAAATTAAGTTGTCACACAACAAAACTATCCGTAATAATTTGCATTGGTTAGAGGCAAAGTGTAAGCGAGTAGCTAGGTGAATACATCACCTTATTTAGTAGCATTGGCAATAATAGCAGGGAAGATTTTCCTAGTCCTACACAGATACTATATATTATTACAAGGGTAAAAGATTAGTGTTAAGGTTATCATCAATTATGAAGAGCACCTGCAATTCACAACAACAAAAGGACAAGCTTTATTCATTCACCAACTTTAACATAACACTCAATTCTAATCCCTTACCCTATCAGTTTTCAGATGATGTATTTTAATTATTCTTTTAGATATTATTAAATGAATTTCAGGAAATGGTAGAGCCACCAAATCCAAGAGTTACTTCAAAAGGATCAACCTTTTTTACTATCGGGTTGGGACATTTATTATTAACTAATTTATATAGTATGTAATAGAATTTTTGGTTTATATATGAAATAAGCTTCTCCTGCAAATAAAACGTCAACAATTAGTATTGGATGGTTTGAAGTTCCCTTTTTCCTTGTTCAAGTTGGAATATATATACCTGAATCCTTCAGGTCGAGCACTAGCAACCCATAGTTGGTGACATCAGTGATGTAGGAGCCGATCGACAACCTTCTAAGCTTTGAATTCTACATTTGCCTCCTTAAATTCATTGGACAATATCCTACAATTTATTGCCCTAAATGGAATTATTATCAAGGTTGACAATGTATAAAATTATTTATACATTGTCAAATAATGATGTTATGCTTTTATTTGATAATGTACATATAATGAATATACTTTACAGTAAATATACTTTTAGGAGGAACATTTGCATGAAAGCTTCTTTAATGAAGATGAGACTGAATGTATCTCCCATTGATTTTTCTAGAACCTTCTGGAATGCCAGCTAACTGATTGTGGATCAACCAAGTGTTTGGTGTGAAATGTAAAACTTGGAAAGAAACTATAGATGTTTTTGTAGCTTTTGGTGCTGATTATGGCGGCCCTAAACGTCACTCTCCCAAGCATAACTGAATCAAATTTTAAGGCGTATGCATATAGATGCAGCACTGACTCAAATTTTATTGCTTATAAAAGTGAAATTTCGGTGCTTCAAATGCTTCTGGTTTAGAAGCAATCGTTGCATTTTAAACTACGTGATTGAAACTGAATATAATGTCAATTTCATCTGTACTATTCATTATAGACTTTGTGTTATTGAATGCAGGCAGAATAAAGATGCTGAAATTATGTCCAATGGAAAATTTCCGGATTTTATTATTCTTTTTCTCTCTCAAATTTTCTTCTTTTTGTCTAAGACTTCAGGGGTGTCCGGTAGACCACTTGAGTCCTGATTATATTTCGAAGTCAAGTCAAATCCTTAATTGGGGAGTAAACTCTTCATGTATTGTTCTCTATATCCACAAAGTTCGAATATAAAACTTCACCTAAGGGACATCGAGTTTCTTACCTCTCGACCCGACTTGCATTTGTACTCTCTCCCAAGTGTCAAGATCAACATATCAAATATCAATATTTTCTCTGAATACACGCAGGTTGAAGAGTCCAAGGCAAAAGCAAGCGTGAGTGAAGGCCAGTGAGCGAAGGCAATAGAGTTGAATCAAAAGGGGTTGTGGAGTTAGCTAAAGAGATTGTCAACTTGATACATTAGGATTCTAAAAGCCACCCATTAACAATCATATACCAAGGAATTGAGTTTCTTTCTACTTTTGGGCTAGGTTTTCGACTCCACAAATTTTGCTTCTCATCGCTAAAGTCAAGTCCCTTAATCTATAGCAATGGTATTGCACATTCAATTTTCAATTTATTAAATTAATTAATGGATTTTATAGACTAAACTGTAAGTTTCTGAAACTTTTAGGCTAGTTTCAAAAATCGAAGAAGTTCAGGGACTTATCTCTAATTTTTCCCTTTGTGGGTTGATACAGATAATTAATTTTATGGACTAAACTGTAAGTTTCTGAAACTTTTAGGTTAGTTTCAAAAATCTAAGAAGTTCAGGGACTTAGATCTAAATTTTCCCTTTTTGGTCGAAACAGAAAATTAGATAAAAAAGGAAAAAAGGTGGCTAATTTGGTTTGAACCCAAAACCTAAAGGATGGCCACCCATATCTATACCATATAATAACTTAGACATTTCTCTATGAAAAATTTAATGAAAATATGTTTTATAGTTTTGGCTTGGGGTGATAACTCAAAACTAAATCTAGCAACCTTTTCCCCCATTTGTGAATCAACCCTAAAAAATTCCCCAATTTTTCCCTAACCCCAAACGTCAACCTCCATGCTTCACCTCGCTTCGGTCGTCGTTGTAGTGTTTCGACACCACCAGTGGAATTGATGTTCTCCTACGACCTGTCCCCAACCGTTAGACCCCTGAAATCAATCGTCATTCGTCGTGAAAGGCGTGAAGACCATTCTTTTGCTCCATTGTCGAATCTTCGTCTCCGCAACTGGTGGTTATCACCGCCCAGCCCAAACGACGCGTGTAATACCCTTAACCCGTATATGTCTCAATATACTAGTCAAAGATGTCACATCAACTTGAAAACATTTATTGAACTAAAATTTTCGTAAAAATTTGTTTCTTTTGAAAACACTCTGGTTCTAACTTTAAAAATATATTTTAAAGTATATTTCAGCTTATAATTTATTTCTTTATTACAGGAAAATAAATTCATTATTTATTCAGTAATTTTACTAAACCATATCTTTTCGTAAAATCTTTTAAAAACATAATAATGTAGTAAATTCTTGTCATACATAGATACCGATAAAACTAAATTAAGTAAAATAAACTAAAATAATTCTAGTTTATTATTACAAATTATTTAAAATAAATACGATAATTAGAAACTACTGACATAATTATACATGCCACTATAAGTCAAAAGAAACGTCATAGACATCTTACTGATACTGATGATATGTATGTCTTTCCAGAAAGATGCTCCGATAGCTCCTTACAGATCGTACTTATCCTTATTAGAACCTACGCATGAAAATCATCACGCGCTAAGTATAACTTAGTGAGGCAATAATAATCTAGGGTGAGTAAAATCTGAAATTTATCATAAACGTAAATAAAATAATTCAACTTAAAACATTAAACTGGCAAACCAACTTATCCAAGTCGATTTCTTCACTGAGACCTGAAATTTCTTTTTAAATCATGAACTCATGAAAATTCTGATAAATCATATCTAATAAAATAAGCACATCATGCTTTCTGTTAACTGAAAATCATTCACAACTTGCATATTCATTTTCATAGCCCAATGCATATTTATAAGAACATAAGATACGTGAGTAAGGTGCGCACTATGCACAACACGGTGTAAATCGTAACTGATATTGAGATATGATGCACTTCAGTGCCATCATAACCTGAATAAGCACCAACGGTGCTGGACATTGATACACGAATGTACCAAAGCTGATAGGATAACATTGATACACGAATGTATCAAAGCTGATATGATAACATTGATACACGAATGTACCAAAGCTGATAATACTCAACTAATGGCATGCCAAGTGTACCCATAATTCTCATTATACATACAATGGGCTCATGTGTCATAATTAAATCGATAATCAAAATATCATGCTTGGGCAGTTCATACCCTAAATCATTCATAAAACTGATATAAAATATTATGAAAATAATCTTTATAAATCATACTATAAATTGGAATGAGGTTGACTTATCGCAAGTCGTCCTCGATCAAAATAATTAAATAAATAACTGCACTCACCTTTGCCTCACTACAGAACTTGTATATAATAATCCTAGTCACGAGCTTTGTCATTTCCTTTCGAATCGTTCGGATTGCTAGATTTAACGTAGTCTGACAATACCAAATTATAAAAAAAAATTGTTCGAACTACATATTAGTATCGTACTAATATAAGCTCGTTTTAACATTTGAAAATCTATATAGTAAAATCGATAACTAAATCGATAACAACCATACTCATAACTCCATTATAACTTCAAACTTATCGAAACACTTATTCAATTCCATAAATAATTATTTTCAGCATGATTCTTCAACTTTTACGAATTATAAAATCTAACCACATATTTTAAATTCTTTCTAGAATTCAACTTAACTTTTCCTTTAATTTCATAATAGCTCTTCACTATTATGATTATTTCCCATCAAATATATAAAATTTCCAGCAACTAAAATAAAAGTTCAAATCAATAATTCAACACTCAAATGCTTACAATTTCATCCTAAACTTTCTTAGGCTTTTCAATTTCAACCTTACAACTTGATAAACTTGAAATTCAATCCCAACTTAATACTTAAACTCCAAAATCAGCACACTTTCCAGAATTTCCAGAATTATTCTAACTCACCCAAATGATACTTTTACATTTAAAAATTACTCTTCATCTTCTAATCCATTTCATCTTAAATTCTAAAATTTTCATATTTAGACAACTTGCACTATCTTTAAAGAATCAGTATTCTGTGTTGATATACACACTGGAATTTAATTCCGTTTATTTCATTGAAAACTATACTCGAATACGAATATATCCATATAAAGAACTCCTTCTAATTAA